TATTTTCTTTCAATGTGTTTAGTGAAAATAGATGTCTAATTCTGCTATTTAGTTTCTAATATATAGTTAGTAATGGCTTTTTGCTTGGTAGCAAATTGAAGTATGTTGCTAGAATTTTGTCAAACTTGTAATAATCAATTAGCTTTGCATAATAGTATTTTAGCTATTAAAGTTGCTTAGAATCTGTTATTAGAAAAAGAGATTTTAGTTTTTCTTTAAATTCTTGTAAATTATTGGGCAGTTTAGATAATGAGGTAAAATATAATTCAGGTAAAGTTATAAAATAGAACAGAGTATATAATCAGTTTGCTATAGCTTGAGTTTGTGATCTTTTAGTAATTAGTAGTTTAAAAGATATAATTGCAGGGGTGTGGCAACTTAGTGAAGTGGATAAGTTGTCAATCCTCCAAGTGGTAGGTTGTGAGTTCAAAACTCACCAACAGCAAAAATTTGAATAATTACCTATATAATATATAAACAGTATTACAGTAACAGCATTTTGTCAATCAGTTGAAATAGGATACTTGTAACTATAGTCACACTAGCATGACTGGCAGATCACAGAGCATATGTATAACCTTGGATACACAAAGAAATGCAAACTGGTACCAGGCAGTGCAAACCTAAAATAAGTTCTTATAGATGTATAAATTTGTAGAACTGGAAAACCAGAGCCTACTTGGAAAGACCTGAGTAGAGAGGTAACATATATCTTTAATGATACTACTATAAAGGCTAGACCTAGAAAACAGATACCAATGTAAAGGAGCCAAATGAGCAAGAACCTCAGCTAAGAGGTACTACCAACCAGGCCACCAGAACCAAACTGGAGAAAAAGAATATTAGGTCAGCTTGATATACCAAGGACAGGTCACAATTCTACTAAGCTATCTGAATTGGAAGTCTGAAATCAAAGCAAAGGTATACTATAAGTACTAGAGATATGCTGTGAAGTAGATGCTGGGGTTTGGGTGAACTCTACAAAGACTAGCCTTGTTAATGTTCTGTAGAGTAAGTAGGTAAACAAAAATGTCAGAAAGAAGCATAAATGAAATACACTAACTGATAATAAGTTTGGCAAAACAAAAAAGCAATATGCAAAGAACATTAGAAAACTGTATAATAGAACATAAAGACCTGAGAAGCTGTAAAACATTATGACAAGAATTGGCAATGAAACAAATAAGTGGCTTATTGGCAAGACTAAATAGACAAGATAGTCTTGGACAATTAACAAAATTAAGAATAATGCAAGGTTGCCAAAGAGTAGGTCTTATAAAAGATATATGAAAAATAGAAGAGTTACCAGAAAATGTAGAAGGTTGAAAAAACAACTTAGCCTGTTCAATATTGTTAAAAGTGAAAAGGCTTAGTATAAATATAAATACAGAAAGTAATTTATGAACAATGCTAGAATATAGAACCAAAATAAAAGAACTTATAGATACACAATTATGGAAAAGAAGTGGAGCCAGAATAAATGAAGCAGGCTTAATATATCTAAATCAGCTGCTTGACATAAAAGAAGTAAGACTAATAACATAGTAACAGCTAAAAGTTCATCAAGGCTTATCATGTAAAGAAAAAAAAGCAGAATGGTTCAAAGCAATTGAATTAGAAGTGCTTAGCAGACCAAAAAGCAGAGAGGTTAAAAAATGTTTTAGAACAAATGGACAAAATGCCCAAGCAATGCAAATGAGATAGGAGTTTATCTCAGAAGACAAAAAAAAGAAAGAATAGATAACATATAAGATACAGAATCATTAACAGTTAGGAAAGATAGTTAAAAAGAAAAAAAAAATACTAATAGAACATTGGCAAATGCAAAATAAAGAGAATGAACTAGTCATTGAAACTAATAGATATAAGAGTTGTACAGAAAATAATGAACAACTAAAAGATAGTTGACAGCAATAGATAAGGATAAAAACAGAATAAACATAATCCCAGACACTTTAATAGAAAAGAGCAGCAACAAGATCAAAATAGCAATAGATCAAATAATAGAAGCAACAAAGATAAATAAACCAGAAATAGGAGAGCAAAAACTTGAAGGACTAAGAATGATAGAAGAGTTAGAAGTAGAAATAATCAAATGACAAAACTTAAAAGAGAACATTGTTCAAGAAATGATAAAAGTTCTAAGAAGAAATATGATAAGAAACAAAAATAAATTTACGATATACACAGATGGAACAGCAAATATAAAGACTAAAGAAGACTCAAAAAGTAAAAGCAGTATGGGTATAGGATGGGTGCAAATTGATAAAACACAAGAATAGTCAGAAAAAGAGTTAGCAGTAAGACTAGAAGAATGACAAACATCGATAATAGCAGAATTAGTAGTGATATGGACAGCATTCTTAACGATACCAAAAGAAAAACAAATAGAAATATATACAGATAGCAATGCTGCAATAAGAAACGTTAGCAGAGGATTAGAACAAATAGACAAAAACAAGATTTTTTTAAAAAAAATGCAATATGGATAATGAAAATTAGAGATCTTATTAGGATGAAAAACATATAAATAGAGTTTTTTAAGGTTAAAAGTTATAATAAAGATAGATGAAATGACAAAGCAGATAGTCTAGCAAAAAAAAATGCAACAAGTAAAAGAACAATACAGGCTAAAGAAGTCAGTTGTGAAGAGATAGAGTACTGCTTAGAGTAGAAAAACAAGCATACTAATATACCAGCAAGATTGCTCTACAAATTAATAACAAATGCAAGATTAGAAGCAGAATGAAAGGAAATAAAAGCAATTAGAGAATTAGAACCAAAAACAGAAGTTATAGTTTACAATTGGACATATTTTTGGAGAAGACTAAAGACAACTAAAGGAATATACTGCACAATGAGGAAAAGTAGTGCCAGAAGAAGTGCATTTATAAAGTGTATAATAGAGAAGCTTCTAACACTCAAAGAGTTTAACAAGAGAAGACCTGACATATATACAACAACAGAATGTCAAATGTGCCAAGACAAAACAAAAAAAATACAATCACATTTGGCAGCATGTAAAGGACAAAAAAACCTTTAGAAAAGAATCCAAAAAGTAACAATTGCAATAGCCTAAAAGGGGCTGAAAGAAGAAAAAAAAGTTCAGATTCCTTCATATATATTATATATAGTGCTTTTTGGAAAAACATAAGTAGAGGAAGTTAAAATAAGAGAAGCACTAATCAAAGGTCTTATTTCAAAAAAAACACAGAATAGAATGAGACAGCTCCTAAGCACAAAATCAAGACAAAAGTTTATAAGTGTAGTAGCAAGAACAGCCTGAGACACTTTTTACAAACAAGTATAGAGAATTTGTTGTGAGAAAATTAATGAATAGAAGAAAAAAAAAAATAATGGGTAGAACAAAAAGAAGAAAAAAGAAAGAAAGAAAAGCATCAGAAAAAAAAGAAAACCCAAATCAACAAATAATAGAAAAAAGAAAAAAGAAGGTGAAAGAAAAAGAAAAACAAATTAGAAATGAAGTACAGAATACAATTCTAGAGCTTGTCATAGAAGAGAGAAGGCCCTTCTATTATAGACTTTAAGTAGTCAGACAAGTAGCTTACTTCTGTTTGAAGTAATGCAACAGGTTGCACCTAGGTACCATTAGAGTGGCCGAATGATGCTGGACTTAGTTTGTTAAGGATATTTATATAATTGCAAATGTAATTTCAAAATCTTAATAAAGTACTAGCATGACTGCTTAAGGTAGAAAAAAAAAAAAAAATTGAGATGTGGTAGTCTAATAAAATAAATAAGTTGTCAATCCTCAAGTAACAAGTCTAAGGTTCAATTTCCATGAATAATAAATTTTGGAAATTATATCTGTGTTATAGTAACTGTCTCTTGCTGATTGATTAAGTTTTGGATATCTGTAATCTTAGGTACACCAAGTCAGATCTTACTTAACATTAGGAGCTCAGGGCATCTATATGAAGTATAATGTTTTATATACATAGAAAAATGTAAAAAAAACCAGTGCTATATAAGGCTTCAATGCAAACTTATAATAAGACCACTAGGTGTAGAAGGCTAAGAAACTGAAGAGATGAAAACCTACTTGAAAATCCCAAGTAAAAAGATAGCACAAATTTTCAATAATGCTATTAAACTAATAGAAATCTATAAAACACCTTCATAGAAACTGTTAGATAAACTGAATAATAAGATGTATAAAGAAGCATATAACAAACTAGGATATTAGAATTGCTAAAGAAAAAAGATACATAAGTATACTATATCAGGCCATCTAAATTGGAAGTCTGAGGAGTTAGTTAGTTCTAAGTTGCAGCTAGTAGAGGATAATGAAGAAGAAGTCAGAAAGATAGGTACCAGGGTTTGGGTGATCTTTACAAAAAAAATAACAGTTTAATAAGTAATCTTGACTGCAAATATTGGTCTTAGTTATAGCATCAAACCAGATTAGTGATAAAAGAAAATATGGCTCATTCTGGTAGATTTGCCTTAAGAATAAAAATAGTCTAAGTATTATAGTCTTATAGTTAAATGTGAATAGATTTGGGTTTATAATCTGATAAAATTAATACTAAAGTCAGATCAGAGGGTTTAAATGAAACATCTAAGCAGAGGTGTTAGGTATGACAACTGATAGAGAATCTTTGAGCAGACTCTTTAAATAAGTAATATAAAAAAGTTATATGTGTAGCCAGTTGTACACTTATCTGATAGTTTATTATAGATTTGTTTATATAAAACATATATCCAATATAAGTATTAATAAAAGCTAGAACCAAAAAGGTTATCTTAATACTAAAAAAAAAAATTATCATTTGAAAAAATTGTTATTTTTATTCCTTTTGATAGCATCTAATTCATATTGTTAAAAAAATTGTTTTGTAACAATATCTATATATATAACAACCAAATTTCCAAAATTCATAAAACATATAATATACTTCTAAAAATTGTAATATAAAACTAATAAGCTAGAAAAGAATCAGTTATTATAGAGATATTAAACAAATTAGATTAATTAATTAAATACATATATCAAGTATTTTATTTTTATTGAACAAAACACATGACTTTGGGGATGTGGCGACCTAGTGAAGTGGTTAGGTTGTCAATCCTCCAAGTGGTAAGTTGGGTGTTCAAATCCTATTAATAGCAAAAATTTGGATAATTACCTATATAATATTTGTATTATGATAACTGTTACTAATAATTGGGTTAGGATACCTGTAATGGCGATTGCACCAGCATGACTGGCAGGTCATGAGGCATCTGTGCAATGTTGAAGTTATACAAAAAAATGCAAATTAACAAATTGGGTAATACAAACACTAGATAAATTCTTGTGGCCATGTAAATTCATTAAAATTAGATAACAAGAAGTTTATTTGAGAAGACCTGTATAAAGAAGTAGCTAGATCTTCGACAGCCCTACTGTAAAGACTAGCTCAAAAAAATAGATACCAAGGTCTAGTACCTAGTTGTAGTATTCAGATAGGTAAGAACCTTCAAGTTGAGAGTCTCAGAAGTACTACCAACCAGATTGCCAGAATGAATCAAAGAAAAAGGATATCAGGCTGATCTGATATATTGATGGACTAGTCATAGTCCTACACAGGCTATTTGGATTGGGAGTTTGGTAAAAAGGAAGGTGAAAAGGTAGGAGTATACTAAAGTACTGAGGTTATGCTGTAAAGTAAATGCTAGGGTCTAAGTGAACTCTACAAGAGCATAGCAGTTTAATAATTAGTCCTGACTGCAAGTGTTGGTTCTGCTATAGTAATACTTAAGTCAGCTGTAAAAATAGGTACAGAAGGCTCTGGGGGGTTTATCTCAAGAATAAATTAGTCCTAAGATTGAGACAATGATCTGGACATCTGGGTATAACTCAGTAAGTTAACACAGATTACAGATTCAAAGGGTTTAAAGTAGAACATCCAAGCAGGGGTGTTAGGTACAGCAATTGGTAAGAAACCTTTGAGTAGACTTCTTAAATAGGTAATATAGAAAAGTTATACATATAGCCAATTGTACTCTCTCTTGTAGTGGTTCATTGAACTACAATACTGATAAGTGATTAATAAAAGTTAAAAGACCAAAGAGGTTATCTTAATATCAAAAAAATAAAAAAAAATAAAACACATGACTTATTTATAGTTTATAATATCTTTATTATTAAAAAAAAACAAAAGATTAAAATTAATAATAATAATAAAAATAAAAACATATATTAATGTTTTTTTAAATTGTTAAAGAAAAAAAAAATTCTAATGTATTTATAAAAAATTAATTATATAATTATACAATTATACTATTATTACCTCTTTTAACTTCTTACTGATTGTCATGATTTTATCTTTTTTATTTTCTAAAGTTTCTGTTCTCTCAAACTTAACATCAAAATTTTCCAAAAAAGCATTCATTTTTTGATTTGTTTTACTTATCACTTCATTATTAGAATTGCTTGAACTAGTTAATTTTTTATTCTCATCATGTAGCCTATTATTTTCATCAGTTAATTTTATATTATCTTCATTTAGTTAAGCATTTTTTTTTCAAATTTTCATTTGCACTTTTCAAGATAGCATTTTCTTTTCTTAAATTATTTATCAGAATTTGTATTCTGTTTAATTCTAATGCAGAGTTGGTGGCAGTTGTTATTATTTGAAGAAACAAATTATTATTATTTATAAAAAAAACATTAATATTTGTTTACAAACATATTAATATAATGTAAAAATATTATTAACATTTCTATAAGAATAAAACACTTACTCAATAAAACAAAAAAAACATTTATTATTTGCTAAACATATAATCTATATATTAGCATTTTTTATAAAAGAAATTTTTATAATTAGAACAATATTAAACCTAATATGCATTTAACTATATACACATATTTTTTATAGTATAATATAGATAAAAATTTTTTATAAAAAATTTTTATTTATATTATATTATAAATATTTATTTTAATAATTTATATTATTTTATTTTATAATATAATATAAATAAAAAATTTTTATTTATATTATATTGTAAATACATTATATACAGCTTATTTAACTATATATATATATATTTTACAGTACAATATAAATAAAATTTTTTTAAAATTTTTTTTATTTATATTGTACTATAAAATACATCATATATAATATATTTTATTTATTATATTCAATTATATGTATATAGTTTACAATATAATACATATAAAAAATTTTTATTTATATTATATTGTAAATTATAGTATAATATAAATAAAAATTTATAATACTTGTGACTCAGAATTTTATTGATAGTATATTTTGCTAATAGTTGTATTACAACTATAAAGAGTAATTATAGAAAGAGTATACAACTTTAGCCATTGTCTAATTTAAGTAGTCTGACTGAAAGTTTTACACTAGCTGTCATACCTAGAACCTGCTTATAAATTCCCTATTTAATCATTCTAGTTTTTATATCTACCTATCTAATTCTGTTTACCAATAACTCTAACCAATGTTAATAAAAATATGCTATGAACACTAAGTTTTTAAAGTAATTTATTCATATAAGAAACTTTTGATCTTATAATAAATCTTTTAAAATTTTTTGTATTTTATTCTTATAACTAACCTGGTATCATTATGACTAAGACCAATACTGCAATTAGAATATATTATTAAACTATTATGTCCTTGTAAAGTTTATTCTAATCCCAGTATTAACTTCATAATATATCTCTATTACTTTGATATTTAATTCAAGTTCTACTAAGTTACTAATCCAGATAATTTAGAAAAATAGATCATAACTATACCTCTGGTTTATATATTCTCCAACATGTATTTTTTTCTTCTGAAATCCAAAAATTCCAATAACCTGAATGGTTTATCTAGTTTCTTCTTAAAGACCAACATATTTGTCTAACTTTATAAGTTTTAATTCAGGTTACTTCTCTATTCAGATCTTTCAAGTAGACTTCTGTCTTTCTACTTGGTTTCTATGATTTACATAACTTATTCTTAAAATTTTACTAATTAATTCTATCTTTTTTTTTTTTTTTAAATATTAAGGTGAGTACTTGCGATCTAGAATTTTATTGATAGTATATTCAGCTAATAGTTGCATTACAACCACAGAAAGCAATCATAGAAAGAGTATATAACTAGCCACTCATACAACTTTAGTCATTGTCTAATTTAAGTAGTCCACCTGAAGGTTCTATACTAGCTGTCATACCTGGAACCCGCTTGTAGGTTCTCTATTTAACTACTCTGTTTTTGTATCCACCTACCTACTTCTGCCTACCAACAACCCTGGCTGATGCTAGTGAAAATATACTATGACCACTAAGTCTTTAAAGCAGTTCTTTAGAACCTTTGACCTTGTACTAAACCTTTCAGAATC